GTAGTGTGCTGGTTAATTTAGCTTTGCTAGTTGGTATTCCGTCTAGGTTGTATTAGTTGTGTGTGTAACCTCCCATTTCCCGATTTCGGGCTTTTTTGGCCCTTTTTTTATGAGTATGTTTATGCCGTTTGAAAAAAAAAAAGACTAGTTGTCAATTTCCAGTGCTTTATAATCCATTGTGATAAATTATGACGATTCGGAGTAATCCATATAGATATGTACAATTATTCATATCTATTGAAACTTTTATAATTAAACACTTGTCTAAATTAAATTATAAATATATTTCAAATTTAGTAACTTCTATATTTGTATCACTTTTTATGTATGATATATTAAATTAGTCATATTTTGACGATTGTCATTTTGATATTTATATTCTATATCTAAAATAAAATAATTACCTACCTTTATAATAAAAATATTTATTACTCTCATTGAAAAATAATAAATTAATTTAGATAGCATAAGTTAGAAAAGTTATTATAATAAAATATGATTAAATATTATGGTTTTTTTTTCTAGAACGATAGAGATATTTTATAATTAAAATCTGCATAAAGTGGGAATAGAACGCAACCAAAAGCTCAAAAGTACAACAAAAGACTGAATAAGACTGAGAGGACAAATTCGAGGATCGGCTAGAGTCTAAGCTTGCAACGCTAGAAAACAAACTCACAACTACAAAAACACAACTACACAAACACAACGAAAAAACTACGAAAACGATCCAAACAGAATAATGCCCGAGTATACAATTCCAACAGGATAATAAGTCACACTCGGGCGAACGCAATCCAACTGCCCAAACCAAAAACACAAGACATAACAACACAAACACAAACGACACAAAACGAAAGAAAACAAAAGAAAACAAAATAACCACATACAAAGCACTTCCCTAGTAAACAAACGGGCCCAACCAGCAGAGAAATAATCGATTCGAAAGATCCCAACGCCCAGGCACCACTACTGAAATTGCTAACCCACCTATACAGCAGCCGAACCTGAGCCCAAACCAAATTCTGAAATGACCCACCTCCAACCGAGAGAACGACGACACCAGCTCCCCACACCATCACAACCCGAACCCATCTAACACCACTAGTCAGGCTCGGGTGCTCCAGACCCCACCAGTTTCCAACACCAGAGAAGCGAGAGGGTGAGAGCGGTACGGTCCTACAACTCCGACAACACAGCCGCCAGAGCCCCGCCCGACCCAAGAACCTAAACACCACCTACACCACCACAAACTGTCGGCGACCCGAGCTTTAAGCTCCCCCACCAAAAGCCCCACTAGAAAAGGTGAAAAGGCCGAGGGGAGGCCTCCAAATACAGAAACGGAAACAGAGGGAAGGTATTAACACCAAAAATTGAAGGCCAGCCGGCGACCGGGACGAAGACACCAAGCACGGACTGATCCCAGAACGTGGGCTTACCAACTCCATCCGTAGACTCGCGCTGCACATGGTTGAGGTGTATCATTTAAAAAAAGAGTAAATATTTGAACTTCTAATAATTATGATTAAAATTAAAATTGTTATTATTGTTATAAATATATATGGTTGGTTGGTATAACCACCACCATTAATTTTGGTATAAAATAATATATGTGAATGACTATTTTATCCTCGATGTAATTGTATTATTGCGGTTGTGCCTCCATAAGTTTTTCTATAAATAGGAGCTTCAGTTATAATGAAAAACACACCAAGAGAATACATTTTCTCTATCCTCTCTCTTTTCCCTATAGTTTTATAACACGTAATCAGCACGAGTCTACCCTCTAGAGCTCGATATGTAATATGACAAGAGTATGCTCTACGATTGCATATTCGAGATGAACCTCCATATCAGAAATCTGATTATTACTTATTATTCTTCTCTTGAATCTACTAAATAGGCCAAAACTATGAATTTTATCTTTACTTTATCATGATTATTTTTCATCACTTTCTTTCGGCTAAGCTTTCTTAAAGCAACCACCATGCTTAATCACCATGAGAAGAAAAACTTCCACCATCTTAGCTTCCAGCTTCAAACGCGAAAGAAAGAAAAACTCCCAAAATTCACGAAGCTGATCATGATACAAATGATAAATGTATACTTTACCTGAGATTTATGTCAAAACTAATCCACCAGCATCATGTATGTAGTTTCTCATTATTTTGTTATCTCGCCTGTGATTTAACACTCTTTCCAATCACATAAAAGTAAAAAAGTTCATGGCTAAGGAGTAAGGACTATATATAAACCATGCACTATACTTTTATGATGAGAAATGAAAATGAAGCAAATCAAGCTCTGCAAATATCAGATGAGACTTGGCTCTTAAAACCACTGTTGAGTGATGACACATCAAATGGCATGAATAGTGTTGTTGATAAGGTTCAATTTTAAGCCTTAAATCCAAGAAAAACTTGGACATGTAATAATGTTAAGAAAAATAAATAAATGAAAGATGGACCAACTTTCATGAGTTGTCTCAAAAGGATTAAATTTCATGTGCACACATTATGTCCCAACCATTATAAACAGTACATGAATAGGTACATATACTATCATTTAGTTATATAGCATACAAATTATCATGCTATGTGATGCATTTAATAAAAGGTGTGATAGAAATTATATGAATTACCAAATTTTATGTTAGATAATGATATAATCAAACTGATAGCTGCAATTTATTAGAAATATTATTTTTGTGGTTTTGAACTTCGCTATAGTAGCTAAACTAATGCACATGTTCAAATTTTGATTTTTGTTATAGTAAAGAAAATAATAAGATGTGATGGACATTAAATGATGGTATTGGATCACAATTACACACATCTATTTAAATGGATTTTTGTACATTGACTACCAAATGTGAGGATGGACGTAGGTGAAGAAAAATTGAATGAATTCATTAAATTTCATTTAACATTAAAAATATGTTTTGCTAAATAGAATAAGTTGTGTTTATCGAAATAAACTTATTTCACTTTTATACTACTCTATTTAATGATAGTTTTGATTTAAGACCAATATTGATATGGTTTATTATATCATATGATTATAAAATACTTGAATTTTTCCTATTGTAGAAATTATTTACGTGAACATGTGGATATTTATGAATTGATCCTCGTGATATAAAAAAATAAGTATGTGTGGCTTCAAAAAATGGCCAGTGTGGCTCTGCCACCGGCGAGTAATATTTAATGGTAACTGACGGGTCAATTGTTGACCAAAATATTATGAACAATTATGTGAAATGGCCAAAGTGCAGCCACCAGCAACAGATAATGCTATTGGACGGCTAAAATGGACCGGTCAACATATTAATTAATGATAGTCGATGATGTGGAATGGCTAAGTGGTAAGGCCACATGCAACAAAAGATATGAATAACTATAAATATACATGGGTTGGCCAGTGCGGCTCTGCCGCAGGCGACAGGAAATACTAATAAATGATAGCCGATGACTGAAATTAATGATACTTTGTAGCTGGATATGTGAAGTTAATTAAAGTCCTTGGCGTGAAGGGACATTATATGGACTAACATGATCCTGAAAGAACAATTGATAAATTCTCCAAATTTATTGATGGAGAAACGAATATTAATGAAGTAGTACCGAAAGTTACTACATAATGATTAAATGATATATAGTATATTGGTACCGGAAGCTACCACGTTATGATTAAACAAAATGATGAAATGGTACCAGAAGCTATCATTAGATGATTGAACAAAAATGAAAAAGTGGTACCAAAAGTTACCAGTTATGGGCGATCACACAAAATGATTTTTCAATATATTATATGAGTTTAAAGGACAATATCAGACGACAAAATCACATTGAGATTTTAGATCATATTGCAATAAAGTGCTTGAATCTGAAGGAAAATTCTCTCGCCGGGGAGCTTGGAGTTTTTTGCAGCACCTTTCTGCCTTTTGTGATCTTGTCCAGTCTCTTACTGCTTCAAGACTAGTTCCTTTCTTATTCTCCTTCTTCTTCTTTGCGATCGTTTTAAGTTTACAATTCTGACCTAATTATGGTTTCCATGGGAACCCCCAATTGTGTGGGTCAAGATGAAGAGCTTTCTCAAAAACTCCAAACAGTCTCATTATCGGAAAAAGAGGAAGCCTTCATTGATCTTCGCCGAGATGATATTAAAATTAGTGCAGACGAGTGTCAACGAAGCCTGTTTGGTAAAGTTTTTGGCGATCGCACAACCAGCTGGATAGGGGTCAAGCGAGCTATGAGCAACATTTGGAGATTAAGCCAGCCTATGGACATCAAGGACCTCGGCCCCAACTACCATCAATTCATTTTTCAAGCGAAAGAGGATAAAGAGAAGGTGGCAAGAGGAGTCAACTGAAACTTCGACAACCAATACATAATCTTATCAGAATGGAAGAGAGGCCTCTCAATCAACCACGCTACATTCCAGGAGCTCAAACTCTGGGTTCAGGTATTCAATGTTCTTTTGGATTGGTTGAGTATGGAGGTTGGTCTAGAGATTGGTAAAGTTTTAAAGGAAACTCATAATGTGGTTATTATTGGAGCTGGCAGTCATGGTGGTAAAATTATGAGGCTCTAAGTCTCTGTTGATCTAAATGAACCCCTGCCCCGATGTGCCAATCTCAGGCTAGATGATCAAGCGGTGAGTGTTTGTTTTAAGTATGAACGACTGGTAAATCACTGTCACTATTATGGCCTCATTGGTCATCTAAAAAGGACATGTGCTAAAAGATTGGAGAATATCAGCACCAAAACTCTTCATGAAGGTCAGTTTGTTCCTTGGATGAGGGCACAGGAAAACAATCATTGGGCAGGACTTAATTCTCAAGGCTCTCCAAGCCCTCCCAAAAATGATAATCCCCCATCTCAATCAAATACTAACCCAGACATACCCATACCAACACCCTCATCCCCCAAAAATGACAGTAACCAGCTCATTTAAATAGAAGGCACACCCTCTCATCACAAACCACTAACCGCAGAAGCCTCTACCTCTCAATCGAAACTTCACACAACACCAAGCCCTAAGGAGCACCCACTAATCCCAACACAAACACCAATCATCCAAATTGAAGATAATTCCCAAATTCTGCAACTGCAACTCTCTAGCAAGGACATGGAAATAGAGAACTCTCCAGTTTCTTCTCCATATGGTACTCCTCTGTACTTGGCAATAGATTGCTCTTAGAATCCTAAACCTAAAGTGTGGAAAAGAACAACATCAAGGCTTAGCAGGCTGCAAAGTCAAGGAGGAAATTCCTCCATCCAGGAGGAGAGCAAGTTAACTAAGAGGGCTAGAGCAACTCAAGAGGCAACAAAAGAAGAAGACAACTCCTCTCAGCATATCACAAAGGAGAACAAAAAACAGAAAACTGAAGCTCAACAGGTGGGGGTGGCCAGCCTAGAATGGCACCCAAGTGATCAATGCTAGCTGCGGTGTAGAATTTTAGAGGGCTGGGTGGGCCCTCTACAATTTCCCAAATCAGAGAGACCATTAAGGCTCACCACCCTGTTTTTTTTTTATTTCTGAAACAAAAAAAAAAAAATGGTTTTGTCAAATCTGTGGTTAGGAAATTGAACTGTGATGATAGAATAGCTATTGTAGACCCAGTAGGTTTAAGTGGGGGTCTTCTTCTTTTTTGGGATTCTAATGTTAATGTTATTCAAGTCCAGAAAAAGCATTTCTATATTGTTGTTGAATTTTCTTTTGATTTAGCTCCTCCTCAATGGGGTATCTTTGTTTACTTTAGTACTTACAAGCATCACAGGGCTTCTCAGTGGGAGGAGATGGCAAATGACAAAGATCTGTGGGGGGATAATTGGTTCACAATGGGTGACTGGAATGACATAAGAACTGAAGAAGACAAGATGAGAGGTATCAAAAGGAGTAACAGAAGCCTTATGGGTTTCAATTCCTTTATCAATAGCATGGATATGGATGAGCTTCCAATGACAGGCTATCAATTCACTTGGTGTAATATGAAGAGTGAAGAAGGCTTGGTTGAAAAAAAGTTGGACAGAGCTTTTGCCTCTTTCACTTGGAATCAAAACTTTCCCAATGCCACAGTTTCTAACAAGGTCAAAAGCTCTTCTGATCATTCCCTTTTACTTCTGGATTTGGGTTACTCAAAGCATAAGGGCAATGCAAGATTCCACTTTGATAAGAGGTGGATTGGTAGGGAGGGGTTCAAAGAAGTGGTGGAAGAAGCTTGGTCCCAACATTCTGAGCGCACTCCATTATTTAAGCTTAAAGAGAAAGTTAAGAGGACCAAAGCAGCCCTACTAATCTGGAGTTCTCAAATCAAATCTAAAAACCAGCACAACATTGATATCCTCACCAAGAAACTGGAAGTTTTGAGAGAAGAAAAGTCAGATAACTACTGGGTCCAATGGAATGAGACTAGGAATGACCTTAATGCAGCACACAGGCAGGAGGAACTCTATTGGCAACAAAAGTTCATATTAAGGTGGATGTGAGACTAGGAATGACCTTAATGCAGCACACAGGCAAGAGGAACTCTATTGGCAACAAAAGTTCAGATTAAGGTGGATGAAGGAAAGAGATGGCAATACTAAATTCTTCCATGCTTACACCCTTTAAAAAAAGAAACAAAATGCAATCTCTAGACTGGTCACAACTCAAGGTGCAGTTCTTACTTCTCAGTCTGATATTGAATCACACATCTCTGATTTCTACTCTGACTTGTATCACACTGAGGGTAGTTGGGATGGAGATGCCATACTACATCTTATTCCAAGAACAGTTACAGAAGATATGAACCGAGATCTCTTGAAACCAGTTACTGAGGAAGAAGTGAAAGCAGCCCTTTTCTCCCTCCATCCAGAAAAGTCACCTGAAGAAGATGGAATGAGTGCTTTATTTTACCAGCACTTCTGGTCATTGATTAAGGCAGATGTTGTTGAAGCTTTGCTCAGTTTCTTCTAGTCAGGTTTGCTCTTAAGATATTGGAACCATACCATATTGTCTATAATCCCTAAGGTTCCTCAGCCAGAACCTCTGAATCAATTTAGGCCAATCAGCCTCTGTTGTGTGATCTATAAAAATCTGTCAAAAGTTCTGGCCTAGAGATTAATGACATGCCTCAGCAACTGCATTAGTCCTCATCAGTCAGCATTTGTGAAGGGAAGGCAGCTTATGGACAACATAATTATAGCACATGAGGTTTTTCATTTTCTCAATAGGCACTCAACTGGGTCAAACTATTTTATGGCCTTGAAACTGGATCTCATGAAGGCATTTGACAGAGTGGAGTGGTAGTGTCTACAAAGGATTATGAGCCAAATGGGTTTTCACCCTGATTTTGTCAAGCTGCTAATGGTGTGCATTTCCACAACCACAGTCTCCTTTAAGGTGAATGGCAAAGTGAGTGGGTATATATCTCCATCTAGAGGGATTAGGCAGGGGGACCCTCTGTCCCCCTACCTTTATATTATTGTAGTTGAACTTTTATCAACCATGCTCACTAGCTCCCAACAGCAAGGTTGCATTCAGGGTCTCAAGCTTTCTAGAAATGGCCCTGCCATATCTCATCTCCTATTTGCAGATGACTCATTATTATTTTTCAAGGCTGGAGTAGATCAGGCAAGATACCTCTTAACCTTATTGGAGAAATACAGGCTATTCTCTGGACAAAAGGTCAATTTGCAAAAATCATGTATTTTCATCAGCAGGAACACACCACAGACTTTAAAGGACAGAATCTGTAGAGTTCTTCAAGGAATTATTCCTCACAGATCCACAAGGTACCTGGGGCTTCCCTTGGGAATTGGAAGATCAAAGAAAGAAGTTTTGATTATATCCTTGAATCTGTTAGAACAAAGCTGCAAAGTTGGAAGAGTAAGCTACTGTCCCTAGCTGGCAAGGAAGTTTTGTTAAAATATGTGATCCAAGCTCTACGAATTTTCTCAATGACCTGTTTTATAATTCTAGTCTTTGTCTGCAAAGAAATCTCAAGGCTATGTGCAGCTTATTGGTGGAAATCAGGGGACCAAAAAGAATCAGGCATACACTGGAAGAAATGGGACAAGGTCACTCTACCAAAGATCAAAGGAGGGTTGGGGTTTCTTGACATAAGTCTCTTCAACCAAGCACTTATCTATAAACAACATTGGAGGATAGTCACAAATCCTGATCTTTTGCTAAGTAAATTTCTAAAAGATAGATATTTTCTTGACTGCACCATTTACAAGGCTGAGAAAACCCAAAAAGGGTCATGGTTATGGCATAGCTGGCTTATAGTGATGCCCCTCATTGTTAAGTGTATTAACATAGAACTCAGGGATGGAGCTTCAGGCAGAATTGAAGACTTGAACTGGGTCCCAAAGTTAAAGAAGCCTCACCCCTCTCTGATTGAAATTGCAAGGGGACGTTTGATTTGGGTTAAAGAGTTGTTGCAGAATGAAGGAAAAGAATGGAATGCATGGTTAGTGGATCAAGTATTTGACACTGAGGATAGTTCTGCAATTCTTCAGATAAGCACTCTAAATCCTGGAAGACCAGACAAATGGCTATGGGGAATTGATCCAAAAGGCCAATTTTCAGTGGCAAGTACCTATAAACTCCTGACAGGCCAAAATGTCAATTTGTTAGATATTCCAGAAACAAGTTCCAGCAGCAACAAGTCTAACAAATTGTTCCGAGATGCTGGAATTTGAAAATCCAAGGGAAGATCAAGCACTTCCTTTGGAAATGCATTTCAGACACACTCCCAGTAGCAGTGAACTTGAAGAAGAGGGGGGTTGTAGTAGACACCATCTGCTCACTTTGTGGAGATCACCAAGAATCAGTTGAACACTTACTGTTTTTTTGTCCAAGAACTAAAAGGATCTGGAGCACTGCACCTGTGCAATGGGATGGTCTCACTTATTTATCAGATTCATTCAGAGCATGGTGGAACCAGGTTAGTGCAATTAAGCAATCTGAGGTGGTGATAGATAGAATCCAACTGTCCACCTACTTGCTGTGGTGGCTTTGGAAATCCAGGAACCTATGGGTCTTCAACAAATCCCTCATGCCTGATAATAATGTGGTGGCTGCAGCACTCAAGGATTAGATGGCATTTTCATTAGTTGCAGGAGGTTCTTCTGGTTGGGTTGGTTAGCTTTTCTTGTAGATTTTTTTCTCATATTTTGGTTTTCTTGTTTTTGGTTTGGAGAATATGTTTTCTAGCTAGGCCTTGGGCAGTGGAGAGAAGCATAGACTCTTTCTTTTCTTTGGTTTTTTTTTTTTTTTT